GAAGCGGAGAAGGGCGTACACGCCACCGCTAGCAGAATACAGCTTTAAATGAGAGCCTTTCCACTGCGCCACGGCCGCAGCGCAGAGCTGCTCTTTATACCTGCTTCGGTCCCTTTGTCCGTCGTCGCTGGAGGGTCGGCGAAGAGCCCTGCCGATTGACGTCCGCGCGCTGCCGTGGCGGCGTGGGAAGGCGTCCTAAGTGAATGCCGGGATGGGCAACCTTATCCCTGACTAACGGCGATGTGGGCAGCCTGTAGCCCTGAATGATGCTCTCAACTCTCCATTCTACTCTATATCGTCTCGTGTATGTCATGTCATGTCTGATTGCCTTATCTGCTGGGGCACGGTGGTACACACAAATATATAGAACCTCTCCCTGCCGCGGGGGTGGCTACTTCGAGGCGTGGCGGAGGGGGCTGGTCTAAGGGCGGCTTCCCACGGCGCGGCCGCGGCGCACTTCCTTCAAGGAGCAGAGCTCTTCCGACGCAGCCAGTGGAAGGGGGTGGGGTCTGGAGGGGTAGGTTTCGCCGACCCTCCGACGACGACGAACAAAGGGACCGGAGGAGGTAGAACGCTGCGGCCGCGGCGCAGTGGGAAGGCTCCCATTTAAAGCTGTTCTGCTAGCGGTGGCGCGTGGCCCCTCCTCCGCTTCTCGTAGCTGGAGTTCGGCGTCGGATGCCGCAGCAGCCGCCACCCGCTGCACGTGGGAAGGGCTCCTTTCAAACCAATGCTCTGCTACGCGCCGCGCTGCTGCGCGCCGCGCTGCGGCCGCGTCGTGGGAAGGGGCCTTAAAGTGGAGGGGGGCTCTCTGGGGCTCCGCGGGAAAGGGCGGCCGAAACCTCTGAGACGACGGGCAGGGCCGCGCGGTGCACTTACAGCCGAGCCGCTGGCTGGGGGTGGTCGTTCTTCGCGAAAGGCGCAAACAAGCTGTCGTAAACCGCACTTGCCAAACAAGCGTTTTGAAGGGCGCCGCGCTGCGCTTCCGATCAACGCGGCTCGTAGCAGAGCATTGGTTTAAATGGAGGTCTTCCCGCGTGCGTCGGGTTGGCGCCGCTGCGGCAAGCGGCGGCGGACTCTCGCTACGCGAAGCGCAGGAGGGCGTACGCGCCACCGCTAGCAGAACACCGCTTTAAATGGCGGTCTTCCCACTGCGGCCGCCGGTCGCTGCGTTTTACCTGCTGCGGTTCCTTTGTTCGTCGTCGCCGGAGGGTCGGCGGAACCTACCCCTGCAGAACCCACCCTCCTTCCACGGCGGGCGGCGGTGCGGCCGTGGCTGCAGCGGTGGCGGCGTCGGAAGGGCTCTGCTGCTTGACGGAAGCGCGGCGCCGTGGCGACGTGGGAAGGCGCCCTAAGGGGGTGGCAGGCCGGCGGTGCGTTGGGTGTCAAAGAGACGGATCACTGCAGCATTCTCAGACAAAGAGAAAGAGCGGACGCCGGGAAGAACGGGTGGCGCGTCCCGACGGCCGCGCAGAGAGGGGGGGGAGGCGCGGGCGGCTGTAGTGCCACGAGCGTGCGTAAACAATGGCCAAACCAAAGGAATAATCTCAAAGCAACCACATAAAAATGATGATTTTTTATCCCTCAAAACGTATGCAAACCTTTCACGTCGTGAACAAGTTACCATTTCACGTATTAGATCAGGTTATACCAAATTTTACCATAGCTATTACTGAAGACAAACAAAAAAACCTGGGTAATTCAGAGTGATTCCAGAAATTATTTCTGGCAAACTCGGGACAACGCTCCTTATCATTCCTTGATTTTGAATAAGACATCGAATTCAGACAACGCAAGTCAGAAGTATGTGATTGGCAGCAGAAGAATGGAATTAATTACGATCCATCCCTGACCAGAGCAAAATTACTTCAAATTTGTAGAATTCACGCCAGCCCACGAAAGCAGTACGAATTAGACGAAATTGCGAAAGCAATGGGTCACAGAGAGATTCGTTTGCCTCCCTATCATTGCGCCTGTAATCCAATTGAAAAGATATGGGCGCAAGCGATAGGATATCATACAGGAGAGATACAACTAGAGTGCGCGTGAACATACTGCGCAGGTTTCAACATGCGGTGGCCGCAAGTCACGTGACTTTGGGACACCGGTAGTTTGTTTTGCGTTGTATTGTGTGTACCTTTGCGTGCTGTTTGTTATTTCTGGAGTTACAGCGTAATTATTTGGGGGCCATGTGGAGATTTGCTTACTGCAAACGATCCACACGTGTTTGAGCTTTGTTAAGAACCATGATTCAGTATTGTTGTTTTGGCTGCAACGTGCATTGAACTGCGTCCTGAACTGTGCATTGAGGTGTCAATTGACCATATGTACTTGCCATCAGTAGACAATCTTGAAACTAGATTGTCTCCCTACGTTGTGGACATTGTAACGTATATTGGAGGATTTGTAGTAAAAAAGTTGAAAATGTCACTTGCTTGTGTTGACTGTAAGATTTGCCGGACTGATAGTGATTAAGGACCATATTCCTTCATTCAGAGGAAGGATGATCATGGGCTGAAATACCCTTCTGCAGATGTAAAAATCTGCAAAAGAGCAGAAGTAGAAGTAAGAATACTTCAAGGGAGAGGTGACATTTTTAAAAGGGCAGCTTACACTACATTTGTAAATAGATGTTTGAGAGAATTTGTAAATAACTCCGTTTTTTGTAATTTAACTTATCATATAACTAGTCAAGAGGCCATGATGTATTTGATTCAGGCAATATTATTTAAATATATTGAAATTAAATTAAAACATAGAAAGTGAAAGACTCAAATTTTCCATAAAAATAGAATTAGATCAGTTAATAATAAAATGATTTCATTTAGAGGGCATTAATGTGTGTGTGCATTTATTGGTTTAGTAGTATATATTATGTATTTACTGATGTAAGTTATGTTTGTACGAGTTTGTTGGTAGTGTTAGTAGTATGTTACTGGTCATAGTTTGTATGATTGTAAGTATTTGATTTTTATTAGTAAATTCTTTGAAAATTATGTATTTCAGCTTCCGGGTCAAAGACCCCCATTTCGATCAGTTTTTTCTCCATTTTCACTGATCCGTTGAGCAAATGCTGAGATGGACCCTTGATTTGCTTCTGGACGTAAATGTAGCTTCACTATGCGCACGTTTTGTTGAACACTCCTTTTGCTTGTAGTGGTAGGAGTAAAACCAAACAATGTTATGTAATACCAAAAAAATAAAATAAAACCTGCAGTTTGTTTATCGATACAAATAAGTTTTGTATAACTTTGAAAGATTAAAATGTCTAATGTCTGTAGTTGAAATGTTGGGAAGAGATTTATGAGCTCAAGAAAATGTGTGCAAATGGTACTTCTCCCCTCGTATGTCACATACAGTATTTACTGTTTTTGACTAAATAAATCAGAATAAAAGTTTGTTTTCCCCCTCTACAAATCCTTGAAATATTTTGATGACTTGCTGTTATATGTCTGATGTGGATTATCAATAGCAGAATGTCTAGCATTAAGTAGTCACAGAAACTTGGATTAGTGACTCCCATGGGGTTAATTTATTTTAACAATTTTTTATTTATTGTCCTTCTTTTCCCATATGTATAGAGCTTGGTAAAACAGGTGTAGTGGGGGATACGCGGTTGAGAGTGACAATTTGGACAGAAATCGGAATTTTCATGTACTTAATTTAAATAAAGCAAGAATAACTTCAAGAAACTTTTCTGCTTATAAGCAGCATTCTTAGGACTGTGTATGAGAAAATAACGCTAGAGTGAAGCCATGTTAGATGACGTATTAAAAGAAATTCATTTAGTACGAGCCCAAGGTGTTGTAGCAGATGCCTCCCTATTACTCGCGCAACTTTTCTGAACGATGACTTGCTTCCTTCCTCTTGCACAATAAAACAGATGAAGGCAAAAGCTCGAGCGAGCACTGACGACAACTTCCAAAACATCTCACTGGCGCAATAAGAAACATTTTCTTTATGAAGACGAGAACTCTATCTGTTATTTTCTTGCCAAAATCTAAAGAAATGACCCGAAGAAGGTAAAGATCTATTCACAGGAGATACCTCGAACTCCTGCATAAAGTTAGAAACGCAAAATATGAGACGTTACGAAGGCGTGACTGATTCTCCAGAGATTGGCATTGCTTCATAAAATCTAGTGGCTGATTTCTTTACTAATACCCCCACTATACCCGCATTTCTTCAATCCATCGTTCAAGAAAAGTTGCGCTAGTAATAGCTGTCCCAAAGTTTGTTGCTGGTCTGACGTTTTTCTCAGAATTTATAAAATGTCTCTAATTCCGTTCTTTACTCATTCACTTGTAGTTTAAATAGAAAATTGTATTGCAATTGTGTCAATAACTAATATTGAAACAAAAATATGACTTCCAACAATTTTTGTTTGTTGTTTTAAAAACTTGTCAGAAATATTTCTTCTAATTGTTCTCATCTTCTGGAGATAGGGAGGTGTTAAGACCCTTTCTTAGAAATTCCTAATGATGGGTTTAACGGAGAGAGAGAAAATAGAGTAGTAACCAGAAATTTGGCAACAAAGAAAAAATATGCTCCCTCTCTCTCTGCGCGACCACTGGACTTTCTATCGTCGGTACATCCTAAACAATGCCACCTAAAACGTCTGGGTGGCAAACACCACACAATTCATTAAACGACTTTGGTTGGTCAAGGGTAAGTGACGTCGTGCATCCACCATGCTCTATAGTTATACGACCGCGTGAGCACAGCAACGAGCGCACGGGGACAACACCAAGCAAATGAATGTAATACATCAAGGCAAGCTGTTTAACTCAGAGATATATACTAGGATTTCGAGTCCCGGTCGGGGCAACCAATTCTTTGAACAGATTTAATTACTAGGATTTATTTAACCACGCTCTTGACGATATATCACGACGATTATATCGACGTGATGTATCACGTGTTCACGATTTCATCCAATCGAGAGTTTATATCGTTCAAGCTCTCGATTGGATGAAATCGCAACAGCTGCTTTACGTTAAGCGACGTTAAGTGCATGGCTATCGTACCTGCCAATCTGTCATAGACAACCCATTTTATGTTTCTACCAGTAGAACCCTTGTAAGTATTTCACTGACTAGCGGCCACATAGTAACAGTACATTGTTTTGACTTCGGACTTATCAGTTTTTGATGTTCGCGAATCCACAAGGAATAGCCTGATATACCTTTGTAAGTACCTCTCAATTTTTGAGTAAATTTTGACACAGATGAAGTCTAAATGTTTGCTGTACTTTCTGACAGTTTGAAAAGGCATGTTGTAGTATTGTACTTTTTCGTTCAAACTTGTTTTTTAGCCTGCAGACAAATTTTAGTTAGTTTTTTGTCTAAAAATATAATGAAGTTAAATAGGTAACATTTAACTTCATGAAACTAAATTTACTATCTTGAATCTTCATCTGTGCCTGCAGAAAACGGTGTCAAATTGCATTTTTATAGTGAAAATTCTAATATGCCAGTTAAATCTTTCGCAACCAAATATGGAATACTTGCCATTCCTGGGTGTTAGTGTATTATTAATTGATGCACGTGTTTATGATTTCCCTGTTGGCACCAGTATTTGATGAAAAAAAAACTCTTGGGGTTGCGCCTTTGATAAAAAAGAATGAATGGCTGCTGTGAAGAGGGGCTGCTAGGCCCATCCAAAAATTCTCAATTTCACTCAGTTGAACTAGAATAATTGGTAAAGCTTTAAATTGAAGCTATTGACACTTAGAAAATATACTAATACAGAAAAACGTAGATGTGATGGAACTCAAAGATGCCAAGTTATGTTAAAGAAATTTATGCGAGAAAGCATTTTCTATTTGGCTGAACCATTTTCAAAGATTTTATTGTGCTAGAAAGATAATTCATCTTTACAATGAATATCATTATGTGCAGCAATACGTTTTTAATGTAACCTAATTATATTCTGAATTTCACAAGAATTTGTATGTGGGAAGCCCAATGCGAAGTAGTGTTATGTAATAGTGGCTAAAAGTGACCCTGAATATATTTTCACCAATCCTTTTTAATCCTTCAGTGCTGAATGTCATGCATGATCCACTCCGTTTTGCAAAGAGGCACAATACCTTGAAGTCGGAAACTTTCCTCTGTTTGGCAGGTGGCATGTTATGTGGAAATGGGAGGTTGTCACATCGGTGCACTAGGCTTGCTGCCTACCATCGTGCTGGTGCACATTCCCTCTTTCTCTTCTCCCATGTTGGAGTGCTACCTCCCCCAACCCAGACCCTGCGTTGAAGGGTTAAGGGGTGATATACTTGTTTTGGGATCAATATGGGCAATTACCTTTAATGCTAAATTTCTTTCATAATTTTTATTCCGTCTAATACTTCTAGAATTAATTTCTCTATTTTTTGTTTTACACTTCATTTTCTTTCAGTGAAGATATTCATATAGATACCCATCTTCATGTAACTGTTTACTTTTGTTCTTTTCAGTTATTATTTATGTTTGTCACTTAATTTTGTTGTATGTACAAACAGTGGATATGTAATGCCACAATGAGCTCAATCTTATTATTTAGGTCCAGCAGTGTGTGCAAAATGCCATCAAATAAAGTAAAATATACTCTGATACTTTTTGTCTTGTCGTTTTAGTACTAGCTTTCATTATGTCAGAGGTCCACCATTCTGTACTTGATCAATATAGCTGCATAAAAAATTAAGAATTTGATTCATTTCAGTGCTTTCTAACATGGCAGGACCAGTGTTATCTGTAAGCTGGAGAGACCACTCCAGTGAACTTGGTACAATGTACAAAAGTTTGTTGGCAAACAATTTTTTGGTGGATTGCACTCTGTCTGCTGAGGGTCGGAGCCTAAGAGCTCATAGGCTGGTTTTATCTGCTTGCAGCCCATACTTTCATGTGAGTGAAATCCAAATTACATTTTGTCTATTTTTTCTCTACTATGCTTTTATTTTACCTTTACATTCACGTAGGGAAAGGGAGTTATTTTAAGTGTAATATTGTCTTGAGCTACGAAACTGCTTTCTTCTGGGCTCTTGGTATTTGTGCTAGGATAATTTTTTTTTTTTTTTAATTACCAGTTCTTACTGACAATGTATGCTGAGTAAACCACGTGTGTATTGTGCAATGCGTACACTTCTTTCAATTTTTTTGTATGTACTTCATCAAGTCAACCCAAACTTAACATTATATGAACGTGCTATTCTCAAGTGGTAAATTATTGATATTAGAGAACACATTTTTTCAACTTAGGCTTTTGTCCTTTCTTAGCCACAACTTCCAACATTTATTTTATGTATTTGCAGGCAACATTTACTGAGATTCACCTGAAGCAAGGTACATAGAATTTTGTAAAATGTGTAATAAAAAAATAGGTTTGAAATATTTTTGTAAAAGAAATGAAAGTTTTAGTTGGGAAATAGCGAACCTTGTTAATTATTTAACTGACATGAACATGGTAATAATTTTTGAAGTGTATGCTGATGGAAGTTAATGTAAAATATCTTTTTGTTACATTTTTTTCAATCTGAAGGTTTCTTTAATCCTGTTGTCTCTTCGTTTTTGAATAAGTAATTGGAATCATTTGAAGTGTATCATCATCGTGTGTCAGCCCTTTCTTCTAGACCTGTCAGGTGGTGGAAAGTGTGGTGTTTTGCTGCAGTGTATCTATGCAATGAGACAATATTTAAAAGATAAAGGTTTTATATTTATACTGCAATGTATGCAACTCTGCCCCTGGCAGGTATCGGCTGTTGACTGTTTCATCCAATTGAGAGCTTCAACATCAAGGCTCCAAATCCAGGCTCCTGATTTAATGAAACTCTCAACAACTGATACTTGGCAGGGGCAGTGTTGTAAAAATTGCAGTATACAATGTGTCAAATCACTGGCTCGGTTTTGAAAAGGCAGACTCGTATTGTTTATTTTCGCTCTGTTAATGCACACATGGAAAATCAGGAAATTAAGTCAGTTCCTCTGGCCCACGGAAAATGTTGGGCAATTGTTCGTTAGCACCTGGAAAAATTAATTAGTAATGAAATTGTAGTAAAAAAATTAAGTCCTATATGAGTAATTATTATTCAAAATTTGGTTTACTGTTTAGTTTTGAAAATGAATTTAATTTAATTTTAAATCACATGCTCAAATTGTATTAAAAATTTAAAATTTTACTTTTTTCATGAAATATTCCTGTTAGGAAATAAGAAATGTAGAAAATTAGCTGTATACATAAAATTTTCGTTTCTAAGGAATGTGCAAAAGTCAGAGTATTGGAAACTTCTAATTTGCAATAGTGCTGTGTAAGGAATAAAGAAAATAGTGAATGGTTTTTAATTACCTAAAATACTGGATATAAATATATACCGTATTGTATGTTGTGCAGCTGAAGTAGTTGATCTGCAATAATTTGTTTATGTTTATATCTTCATTATTGTTTTTTACTTTCTGTAAATCTTTGCTATTAAGATTTTAATTTCGGTTTTCTAAAATTAGAAATCACAAAGTGCGTTCTTGATGATAATGAAGAAAATTGTAGCTATTAAAGGGCATGATTCTTCAGCAGTATCATAAGCAACATTTTTTTATTGACATGTCACGTCATCTACATAGACTCCTTGTGTTTTTCGTACAGATGCTGTTTCAAGAGGAGACTGGAAAGCATCCGTTTGTCATCCTCTTAAATGCAACATTTGAATCACTGAAAGCTGTGATTGATTTTGTGTACAGAGGGGAGGCTCAAATTCCGGAAGGCAATTTGAAATCTTTTCTGACTCTGGCTCAGTCCCTACAAATCAAGGGCCTAAATGCTTTTACTCAGGACTGTGTATGTAAATGAAAAAACAATATAAATTTAGAAATTTTGACTTCAAAAAACTTAACTAATGTAAGTTTGGTTGCTTTTAGAACAATCAGAAGAGATCCAGAAATACGGCAGGAAATATTCCTCGTGGACCATCTGAGGATAATCAAGACACCTGTGGAGTTCAGTGTGTTGGTGTTAGCCAGAAGAACAGCTCTGAGAACTTTCCTCAGCACCGCCCTGACCATTCAGATTTCCACTTAGACACGGTGGACACAACTCTTCCGTTCCCTTTGAAGCATTTAATGCCTCAAGTGATGAAGTGCAGTCAGAGTCTGTGATCACACCACCCACACCTGTGAGAGGCAATGAGGTGTCTGCAGACACAGAAATCACTGTAAAAGAAGAACCTTTGTTTTCTGCATTTTCTGAGACAGTAAACAAGAGATTGGATAACGCGAAAAGAAATGAAGCCATGTCTGACAGTTTTATAAGTGTAATGGGCAGAGGAACTTCTTTTATGTTTGGAGAACAAGATTTGAACCAACATTCATGTAAGTAAACTACCATATTTACCTGATTGTAAGCAGACAGTTTTTACCATTTTTGTATTTCAAAAATCGACCCTCAGCTTAAAATCGGTATCATTGTGTTGCTACAACATAACTTACCCCAGATATCTGTAAAGATATCTATTTTTCGTTGGCCATGCTGCCAACACTGTAGAAAGTGGGGATTGCCACCCAAATGAAGCCACTACATGTATTAATTTGAATTATATAATTGATTTAAATTCGGAGTGACAGTTGGGGTAAAGCGGTGTTGATTTACACACGACACACAAGTGATTCCGGCCACCAAGCCTGGGAGCAACCCCAGCAGTCATTCTTTTTCAGTGATCTTGGGCTAGTCTGTCGCAAGTGTGTACTAGGATAGAAGGCACCTGGAAGAGTGTTCCTAGAGAAGTTGTTGCTAGGGCTTTTAAAAAGTTTTAATCTCAAATTCCCTTGATGACTGTAAAGATGACTTCCTTTTCATGGGCAAAAGTGATTAAGAGTCAAGTGAAGAATCTAAGTAGTGAAGGCCTCTTAGTGGGTGATCTCTAAATTTTTTTTTTCCCCCTGTTATTTTTTTGTTCATTATTTCTTACGGTCAGCTTACAATTAGTGTTGCATATAAACGAGTAAATACAGTAAGTATCCCAGTATATACAGTTGCATTTCACAAAATCCTGTCTAAACAGAACAATGAATTGAATCTATTTTGTCTAAATAATTTTTGAGATTTTAGCAGTGTTAAATGAAGTGTTTGAAAGTCAAACTACTTTTTCTTAACATTTTTAATAGTTAAACATGTTCATAAATGACATATTTTATATATCAGTTGTATACGTGAAGACGTTGAAACATTGTTTTAAAAAATGTTTACTTTGATATTTACTTATTATATCTTCTTTCATGACAATTATTAGTAGGCAGATATGTTGTTCCCCATGACTTTCTTTTGTAGAAGTAATTGGCTTAGTATTTATTCAGTATGTAGTTATTTTAAGTTTTGATTAACATTAGATTTTAATTAGAATTTTTTAAGACTTATATTTTTGATTATTGTTATTAGTTTGTTGTTCATTACCTGCATATACTTGCAATAATTGTTAATTAATTACCATTAATTTTCCCAACAGTCATGAAAACGTAGTTATAATTTATTTTGAAGTTATGTTTAAGGTAGTGTCTTTTTTCACTTCTGTCATGAACCATTCATATAAGTATCAATTGGCATAAATATAAGTATTGGCATAAGTAATGGAAAATGTCTAAAAACATAAAATCAAAAAGGATGTATGTACAAATATTATATCTAATAAGTTTCAGCTTACATACACAATTCCTAAAAGACAATATATATGTCACAGCTAATGGCTGAATTGACTAATTTGTGAATTTACTGTTTAATTGTTTACATTATCCAAAAGGAATGCATAGTCACTAAAATAGGAACAGCTTTGAAGCATACTCTCAACTTCAGCTCAATGAAGGTGAGATATGTTAGTGTCAAGGAATAACATATACCATATTATAAACAGAGATTAGACAGTGAGAAATTAATAATGTTAGTGAGACAAGGTGTATCGTTCCGAGTTCCATATGTTTCTCATAAAGTTTGCTCTTTCACAAATAGTTGACAACTGAACTTCAGGTGCACAACACTTTTCCACTTCACGCTTACCCATAGAATTCTTCCAGAAATTCACATGAGTTGACAGCAATATCTTAATAAAAAAAGCGGCAAAGAAAAAAGTAAGTCTGGTGATTTTGTGGAAAGATGTTCATAAAATCTTTCTTTGTAGAAAACCATTTACCAGAGAGAGAGTACGGAGAATATGAAACAGTAAATTTTGCACGAAGTTCTAATATTAATCCCTCAAAATGTATTTTTCATTAAAATAAATGAATATGAACTACTAAATAGCACTTGATATAGAAACAATAGAAAGATACTAGGTGTTGGATTTCTTCCATCTCATGATTGTGATATATTGCATCATGTGTCCATGATCAGTTGCAGGATTCTGTGGGAAATACTTTGGTCAAAGCAACATCCCATATTGTTTCATTGATGCACGTGATTCGATTCCAAATGATTACAATGATCCAAATGAATATTGATTGATCACAAATATTTGTGGCTGGAATCATTGTTCATTATTTGATTGTCGTACTAATCTAGTGATCTCTGAACTTTTTAATCCAGTTCACTAGTTTGGCACTTGGACTTAGAGTTGCAGAGGTGGTACAAGCTAGTTTTCTTGAAGCGAACTAGATTATTTCAATCACAAAGAAAGTGTTTGTGAAAGCTCCTTTGCATGATCACATTTGTAGATAACTACTAGCTTAGTGCAGCACCTGAGCCTGTACTAACACGATGAGAGACATGGTTGTAGACTGTACACGTTTATAGTGCACATTATTAGGACTATTGTTGTTTCCTTTTTCTGGGGACTCTATTGTAGTGGTAGCGATGCACAGGGAGTATCCACAGGGAGCTAGTGTCACTTGCAATATTGCATTCATAATCAACAATTTCTGCTGGATTGCCGATTGTGTAACTCGTCGAGAAGCTGTGGATGTGTCTTTGAAGGAGTCGATGGATATTGCTAGAAAAGTCAAGATTAAAATAAAGGCTGTGGGAGATGATGTTGGGGAGAAAGTGTTTAACAAGTTCGGTGCAATATTTATTTATTAAACAAAATTAATGGGTGATACCCTTTACATGCTAAAAATACAAATTCAAAAAGAATTATCAGAGTAAATCATTGTAGATACATATAAAATATCAAAAATATCTCATAGGCAGAAAGTAGTACAAACATAAGTGCAAAAGAATGAAAATAAATGTAAATACAAGCTTATAAATTTCACATAATCAGAACTAATTAAGATGTTTATTCAAAATACCTTGAAAGGCATTATTTCCAATTACAAAATATAGTCAGCACCTAAGCTATTCGCCAAACCAAAAATGTGATTTATCGTCTCATTAGCTCATCGGTCTCAAAATTCGTCTCAAAAAACGTTCTCTTATCGTCTTCAACACAAAAAAAAAAAAAAAAAAAATGGCACTGTCTATTTATCCAAAAAATTCACATAGCGAAATCACCCACTGATTTGTTCTTCATCGAGGGTATTTATTAAGATCTAGATCTTTTCTGCTGGCATAAACCATTTGTATACAATTAAACTATACTGATTATCAAAAAGAAAAATAATGTTTATTTTAACAAACCAGTGATATATAATGAATTAGTTTACATTTGTATTGTATAATTTTTTTGAAAAACTTAATGTTTGTGAGAAATAATGTACTTCTGCTTCCGGGTCAATGACACACACCTCAATCAGATTTTTGTCCAGTTTCTCTGATCCATTGAACAAATGCTGAGTTGGCCCCTGGTACTGCTTCTGGACGTAAATGTAGCGTCACTATGCGCACGTTTTGTTGAACTCTCCTTTTGCTTGTAATGGTAAGAGTAGAAGGTAAGCGACAAGTTGGCTATTTTGTTTTAGCACATGCCACAAAAATCATACTTGCAATTTGTATCTCGAGCAAATAAGTTTCTATTACTCAAAAAACAAAAATGGACTAATTTTTCAAATATCGCTAATCTGCCGATTTTTAAAATTTATTTTATTTATTTATGTTAAACTTTTTACTCATCTTTCAACCTGATATATTAGTTAAAATGACGGGAAGGGATTCTGTAACTCAAGAAAACGTGTGCAGATAATCTTTTACCCCCTACGTCACATACAGTTTTTACTGTTTTTTGACTGAATAAATCTAAATCTAGAAAAATGACATTATGATTGTCTGGGGCAGTAGTCAGGTGAATTATATGGGCCAAAATCTGTAGGAACTTTTGTTTAACTCATTCAATGGCTGATATACTCAATTTTTATATAGGTTCCAAACAGGTGATGCATATTCAAGAATTGGTCTAACAAGTGCTCGATAAAGAACCAAAAGGGTCACAGCAGATTAAAACTGCATAGAGTTCCTCAAGACCATACTCAATATTTTCAGTGCCTTAAAAAAAATATGTGGAATATGATTCCCAAAAGTCAGCTTACCATTAAACATGACTTCGAGGTCACTTATATAATCGTTTCTTCTTCAATTCTTTAATATGATATTTATTTATTTATCACGCCAATCGGCTTTATCTGTTTATGTTATAATACAATTTGCAGTTATAATATATTAATTAATTGCACACTGAATGAATACAGTAATCTGTAGAAATACAATACTTTATCTATCAAATTTAATGTTTTTCACCTTTGATAAAAATGTAGATGTAGAACCTCCAAAAAAATTGATTTCTGAACAGTACTTATTTACCAGGCTAACTATCCTGTTTTTAGGGCCTCGACAAAAACAAAATTCCACATTATTGTTTAATTCCTTTTTCTAGTAAATGGCATAACAAAGCATTTCCCCACATTTAGCCTCAAATCATTTTCCCTACACCATATCTGCCTATTGCAAAGATCTCGCGGGAGAAAGCAACATCATCATTGTTAATAACCATATACAATTTCGCTTCATCCGCATAAAGTAGACGTTGATTTTTGGACATATCCCGTGGTAGGTCATTTATAAAAAGATTGAACAATAGGGACCCAAAATGCTAACCTTGCGGAACTCCACTAGTTCCATCAAATATACCCGCTGAATACCCTTTATTACAAACAAGTTGCTTTCTGTTCATCAGATATTTACCAACACAATTTAGCAAAGTTCCTCCTATTCCAAGCTCCCTTAATTGCGCAAGTAAGATAACAGGGTTCATGCAATCAAAGGCCTTTGAAAAATCAGTTTAAATCACATGTAGTTGTGCTCCAAAGCACCTAATTTGTGACCGTAGATCTATTAGGAATAAAACTATGTTGCACAGGTGATATAAATGTCTTTAAATCTCATAATAAGTTACCGAATATAAGTTTCTCAAAAATCTTAGGAATGGCGCTTAAAGGAGTGATAGGTCAATATTGATGGATATGAAACATTACTGAAAGTTCACAAAATATTGTGTGGGAAAGAACAGGACATTTCAGAAGATTTTTCATCGAAACACATAAAATTATTCTTTGCGAAAAAACAAATTTTACTATTAAGCCTGCAAATTTGATTCACTGATGATTCTATGAAGGGTTAAGTGTGGGCTTTGAATTATTGCATAATTGAAAAACTATTGTTCTCATTCATTGCACTCATTTATTCTACAGTACATGATACAATTTGGCTATATTGAATCGTGTACAAGGTGTCTGCCATCAAAAAGAGTTGGATATCACATGTAAGCATGGGATGCAATTCCTTGTAGTTGAAGAAAGTTTATTGGCTTCATGAAATAAAGTTTTCAAGTTGAATTATATTGGTGCCATGTGAAAAATAATTCAAAAAAGGCAAAATATTATAGCAAATATTAACATAATTTCCATAACCAAATTAATCCTTACTTTTAGACACAATACACTCAAAATAATGTGTTATTATAGCATTCACTGATATTCAACACACAAAAATACTCCTAAAACACACACCACATAAAAAAACAATTAAAACACGATAACTACATAGTATTCAAGTTTCAGATGGACCAATTTTGAGTATAAATGAATAAGTGTGTGTATCTTTGAGTTCTCTTTCCAATGTAAATATAAATCCAAATTTGTCCCGGATTTTCAGGTTTCATTGGTTCAGGTCCAGTTCCATTGATCCTTTTCAAAATTTTATTATTATATATTTTCTTTGTTTTATTTTTTGAATTTATATTCATCCTTCAACTATTTATAGTTAAAATGTTGTGAGAGGATTCTAGAGCTCAAGAAAAGATGTGCATATGATCTTCTTCCCTATATGTCACAACCACTTATTTTTACTGTTTTTTGAATAAATAAATCAAATCAAAATCCAAGGATCTTAAATACATCTGATGTCGTCTTGCCTAAGTGATATTGGTTTTGTGGTGGGTTGCTGTTGGCATTTACAATGAAATAATTTTAGGCATTATTAACAATATTAAACATAGTTGTTTTGTGGCTTCCATACAGCAGGAAACTGATGATAATGGTTATGGTATCGAATATTGAAATAAATAATGTTGGCAATGACAACTCCTATAATTATTTCATTGTCTATGTAACATGAAAAATTTAATTTGTTGTCAATTTTGACACCCAAGTCTCTTACAGATATGACTTCAAGTTGATGATCATTAAGTTTGTGTACTGTAAGAGGATATATATAACCTTTAACTTATTCTACTCATCACATTTTCCTCTTAACATGTGTGAAAGCCATCAATGTCTTGTTGACGAAATAGTCATTGCAACATATTTTTCTAAAGATTTGAAATAATGAATAGGATTGGACTCAGACCGGACAAATAATGAATAGACCGGACAAAATATGTTCCGGTACTTGAACCTGTAGACATCCACCTGACAAGTATGAATGTGACTAATTCTGTGTTCCTCCTTATATACTGTATCGATTCAATATACTTTGTAGTACAGTCAATTTGAGTTATAGTGAATTCAGATACGATGAATCCTCTGTTATGGTGAACTTAAGTTGCTGATCCATTTCACTTACATTATAAATAAGCATAAGAATATTTGATTATAGTGAACCTGACTCTCGGTTACAGTGCACCTCGGTTATAGGAAATTTAATGACCTGGAAATTAATTTCTTTATGGAAAAGAATATATTACCTCTATGCCACAAATTCCAACACTAGACAGCATGAACTAAACATCAGCCAAAAGTCATAGTCAAAGAAGTTTCTAATGATGTGAAGGTAGTGGACCAGGAATGGGGACCTTACTAATGAGTTCTTTTATTCAGTTTCACTGTGCAAAGGCAATGTCCTGCATGGGCCACAACTGGCGGAGGCAACATGCAATTACTTGCTTTAGTTTCAAACTTGATGTTACTTGATTTCTGCGGGACAAAGTGCGGTGTGTTCTACGTAGGCGACAGGAAGCGTGCAACTTCCACAGCCCCACAGCCTGGCAATACCTGCCGTGCTGCATGGAAAAGCGATCAGTTTCATTATCTGTTTGCGCCATCTCGCTATCAAAAATAATCTCATAAGGCATTAGATGTGGTAAAAAAGACCCATCAAAGAGTGGAACTTCCAACAGTGCAAAAGGCATTGAAGGGTGCCAATGCATTATGATACTTACAGTGGATATTTGCACTAGACTACTGGATACAGGATACTTACCGTTACTTAAAGACAGTGAACAATGCATATATGGAGAGAGCACGAACTCTGGTGAAGGATCTAGAGGATTTACTAATAAAAAATGTAGGAATCAAACAATTGAAAATAATTGATTTTTAAGGACAAATTAAGATACTGAAATTTTCAGTTCGTGCTTTCAAAGCATTTATTAGTTAAGACTGACAATTCTTCTGGTTCATATTAAAACATCAGCATATGCATTACCTGCTTTAATCGTGAAGACATATTTCCTCTTAAATCCAGAATTTTTATTATAATGTCTGTCTCAAGATTTAATGGTAAGGCAGAAAGTGGATATCAGTGTCCTATGTGGAAGTCAGACGTAAGTTAACTTAGAAAGCAAAAATCACAATTTTTTAATTGGAAGAATATGGTGTAGGCTCTTATGTTAAATCCAAATATATAAATTTTATTTTTTAAAGAAATTCCCAAGGTTTCTTGTGAATGCCCACTTTTGTATGTATAATCAGCCATTCAATTTGTTTATAGGTTACGGTGCACTCTCTAATGGAAATGTGGAATTTTCAGTGAAAACTCACCTACAACAACAGCTTATGGAGAGCAATGAAGTGACTACAGAAAAAGATGTTGCTGAGAAATGTCAACCTTTGCAGACTATGATTTTGGTTTCAAAAAGTGAACGTTTGGATAATGCAGAGAGCGAAGAAAACATGGATGATTACGATGTGCTAGGAAGCAATATGAATGAAACTTACGAAGAAACTGAACATGAACATGGTGAAGAAAATCTCAGCTATTGCCCTAGTAAGTAGAAAAACTTCTTTGTATTTGTATTTCGCAAGAAAAAAAGGTCTGCTTCTGGTATAGTTTACAACTGCAAAACCTAAATATGTTAGGAAAGACTTCAGCCATGGAAAAATTAAGGGATTGTACTTTAGCACCTGAGAAAATTTCTTAATGATAATAATTGGCAATGTTGAGTGAATAAGATTAGCGGGAGATACTATTTTCGCTTTTTCACAATGTTACCCCTGCTTACGATGTGTTAAAAATTTTGAACTTATTATTAAATGCATATTTGTTGCAAATGTATATGCAAATGCATATTATACACATTTTGACGGTATTTAAATGTGGACTGTAATAGAAATAAATTCCAATGAATAACTTTGTCATGAAAAAATTAAAACATTTCAAAATATTCATATTCATAAAAACATGTTGCTCGGAAAAGTGTTCTTTATTACATACAGAAGAAAATTTTCAGTGAAATATAAATATACCATAGTAAAAGTAGGTACAAATTGAAAATAGTAATTCAAAATTAATATAAACAGGGCTTCACAGCAAATCGATAATTATAAACAGCAAATAGAAAAACAAAATGTAAAGTATTTTTCTCTTTACTTTGTTGTTAACAACCCAGCCCAAAAAAACAATTTCTAATTATTTTGTATCGGTGTATTTTGTTTCTTGTCACACGTGTTTACAATACGAAAAGAAACCTAATATGATGTTTTGAAAGAAATCACTCAGAAAAAAGTTCTGGGCATAAAAGGGTTAAAGATTCTTTATATATAAAGCGTATAACTTGACCAAGTGAAGAATGAAGGAGGTTATTGTGGTGCATTGTGAAACTAACAGTGGAAATATGGATCTATACAGTCAATTTTGCTAATATTTTTAAATTCTTGCATAATTCTCACATATTTTTGAAGAAAAGTTTGAAATTGATGTTTAATGTCACGTCGTGGCTATTGACGTTTAAATATAATTAGTGTTTTTATTGAATTCGAGTATTCATTTTAGGGTCCTTGATAAGTAGTGGACGGAAAGGTGCCATTAACCACTTAGCCAATTATAATATTAAAAAAGTCCGAGATCTCAGTGTGTCCCGGCTTGACAAAAGTTTTTCAATTATCTAAAGTAACCTTTTTTGGTTCTATTTTCAACAACTTGAGATACAGCATTGATACACATCAATTCCTCCAAGTATATATTTACCATTACTCTTTTACTTGAATTCTTCTTCTTGTTGCCAAACTTACTCTCTTCAATTTAAATAATCATTCCCCCACCACTCAAACGTACGTATACACTCCTCATTATAATAAAACACTTCCCCACAAGAATTCATCAGTCACAATTCTGCATACCATGCAAATCGTTCAGGTTTCACTTTCACTCGTGCAACCCATATACACTTCATAATCATGCTTAATTTACTACAACTAAGTATTTAAAACAAGGATCCTAGACCAGATTCCAAGGAGGACATATTGTCGACCGATGTGAAATATTCACACGGCCGTAAATTTCGTAATAAACCTCTTGTGGCACTTACTGAGAGACTTACGGAGAACAAAGGTGTGGGATTTGAATATTGAGATTTTGAAAAACTTTCTTTAAAATTTGGGCTTACTTTACATGAAGCCCCTGGGTCATTTTCAAAATTTTCTCAACATCAGCCCAAAATTTGTTCTTTAAATTTCTTGTAAGAGTAGAGTAAAATAGGTTATAAAGGTGGCATAGGTCTGATTTTCACGGTTAACTCTCAATTTTCGAAAATTGCAGAAGGTTGAATTATTTCTGGCGTCTTCTCATGAAATTGGTTGTTCATAATCACTTCTTTCAATAAGGTCAAGTACACTTTTGAAAATTTTAGTCATTTTCAACCAATATTGCGTTCAATGTTGTGTAAATAAAAAACAGGATTTTCTCCAATACTGCCTTACATTTTACTTTAAACTTTTGGTGGAGATACACCCTGTAAGATGACATAAACACGTTATCCTTTTTCAAAATGTACAAAAATGTATCTTTTTTACTTCCCACGTTAATATTTATATTGGCGGCAATTTGTATTATATTTATGAATACATTTGCTTTAAATATGTAAAGTTTCTCGAAAACTCAAAACGTTTCTGTGAATAAGATCTTCAAATTTCTATATTAGACTGGCGCGTGAGCGCCATTTTCAGAAAAACTATAGGAAATTGCTCAAAGAAAATTGCCATTTATTAGGAGGTTTTCCCTATTCTTTATTATTCTTAAATTAATTTTTGGGCGGCGATAGATGGTAGTTCGCAACAGTATTTGGCACGTTCGTAAAGCTAGCCGAGACCAAAGGAAAAGGAAACTTAATACGCAAATGTCTGTGCCATTCAGTTGCATCGCCAGTTTTTCCTTTTTCACTTTCACATCTTCAGCAGCACGATATACCAGGTCGCCGACGCCTATGGCAGTCATCGAGTGTGCATCTATTCCCTCGTGACTGTTTTTCCTCCAATTGCCACCGGGGCCAATGTCATTTATTAGAAATGCTGAGATTGCGTGCAAGAGTCCTGCCCGGAGGCGATTCATATTAACAAAAATAACGAGCAACTGGGAATAGTTATTTGATGACGTCTTCACTGCATTTTCTCACGGTTCCCTCTCCTTATCAAGAAACTGGAGACTTACGTTCTCTTTTGCCAATGCCACATGGAGGCCTCAGAAAGGTCACGGCCGGTTTCTGTTCTTCATAGTGACGTATAATGAATCTTCATTGCGCGCCTGTACTTCAAATGTGTAGTCAAGCGCACTGGATGACCGGCGTTGCTTATGCCGGCCTTCTGCATTGGAGACGCTCTGAGAATCGCCAATGCCTTGAGAGACGTTGCTAATAGTAATTGCGTGCTGTGCAGGTACAGCCGGCCTCCCGCCGGAGAAGGAGCTGGCAACGCAGAGGAGTCCCCCAGGGCAGCAGAGCGAGTCGCCCCCGCCGCACTCGGAGCTGCAGTCGCACGAGGGCGAAGAGACTCTGCTCGGCGACGAGGGCGGAACGGCGTCGCCCCACTCACCCAACGCCAGCACTCACAAGCCCAGGCGCAAGGGGAAACGGCCTTTTCCTTGCGAAGTGTGCGAGAAGGTTTACCTGTCCTCATCGAAACTAGCCATTCACAAGCGGATTCACACGGGAGAGCGGCCGTATCGCTGCGTCACGTGCGGAGTGACATTCACCCAGAAGATATCTCTTACCAAGCACCAAAGCATACACGCGGTAGAGCGTCCGTTTAGATGCAACGTGTGCGGTAAAGTTTTCGCCCAAACAAACGCTTTCGCCTGCCACCTTCGTATTCATACGGGAGAGCGGCCATTTCGCTGCGAAGTATGTAATAACACTTTTACTCGAAAATATAGCCTCTTCACACACATGCGCATACACACAGGAGAACTGCCGTTTAGGTGCGACGTATGCGGTAAAACCTTTGCCCGCTCCAGCACTCTCGCCGAACACAGTCGCATTCACACGGGAGCGCGCCCCTACCACTGCCACGTGTGTGGAAAAGATTTTCGTCATAGAAACGTATTATCTTCTCACAAGCGCAGACATACAGAGAAGTACAAGAAAGGAGTACAATAGAGCGAATTCGTTTACGCGTGGATAAGTGGAATGTTGATCTCCAGAGTCAACAAAATCAACTGCCAGATTCCAGTTACCTAGGAGGGCGATGGTTGCTGTGACGCATGTGCTGTTTTAAAAAACTTTAATCGTCTTCCTTGCAGCACGTCTCTTGGGCTGAGAGCATAATCTCTGAGTATTCCTTTAATAATCCTAAATAAGCCTTTTTGTCTCAGGAAACTTTTGATCAGTGTTTTTATATCCCTTCGGCCAGTGATTTGGCGCTTTTAGTAACTTGTGTTCCCTAACGGTCACCCGACCAGATATCCGTGGTGTTGCGAGTTACTTCTATGACTTCACGCAGCGTAGTTACGCAATTCGGCTACCGATGATGGCCGACGACGACACCTGCAAATGTTGAGCGCCCGCTGCCACCGCGTGCAACGTTTTCCTCAGGTCCAGGGAGCTACTGCTGGTGTACTTCATTAATACCGGAAGGATTGAACTTATCACAAAAGACGTGTTTGTGAATTGTAATATCTACTACATAAAAGAGTATCCTAAAATAATGTTGTTCTGTTATCGGGTAGTAATACGACATGGTGCAGAGCATGAGCAATTAGGAAGATTTTCTGCCTGATTACACAAGTCTGCTGTCTACATTATTTGGGACACGTCCCAACTTGTTTTACTTGTACTGCTTACACTGTGTACTTGTAGAGAAAGAATTGTAAAGCTACGGGGGAATATGGCGAGTTTTCGACCCACTCATGCCGTGCCTTGGGTGATATAGTGGAATAAGTTAACAAATAACAATTTAAGAAGTATATTAATAAATTAAAAACAAGTTATAATAGATGATTAAAATGAACCCTCCGGCAACCTTTTCTTCCCCAGTAACCCGTCTTTACCGCAGAAAAAGCGACGCGTGACGCACGTTTTCGGACTTCCGTCCCGTGACTATCACCATCACATGGCCTGACGCCAAGATTAAGAGATTGTCTGGTCCTTACACTCCGGACATCTCGCCCACACTCCTACTCCCCGTACCATCTCGTCCTCAGCTCTCCGATCCAAACTGAATGAGAAAGCGGGCGCAGATGGCGCCGCGTGAAATAGTTGGGGCCTGCACCCCCAACACACAAGTTTCATAGGTTAGGCTCGCCTGCTGTCGGCAAGAGAGGGCTCGCTAGCTAGCTTCCCAGGAAATTACTTCCTAGAAGCTTCCTAGGCGCCTTCTCCAAGACTGGCACTATAGCAATCCCTAAGGATATCTTTGGCTCTGCCACGCTGTCTGAGTCAGCTGCCAGAGCGCAAAACCAGGAAGCGTCAGGGCTCCGCCTTTCTTCCCCTACAACGTGCTTTCACCGACCTAACGGTTCGGGCCCTCGTGTTAACGACGCCACAGACTCTCCCATGCCGGGGGTAGAATTTTTTTTTCGCAGCGAAATATGTACAGAAAATAAATCTGCTAACTAATTAGCCTGGTATTGACCTCACATTCTAAATTTTTACGTTAACCAACTAAAAAATTACAAAAACCCAAACCTGTTTACAGTACAAAAAAATAATCTATGTGATGTCTCCCCTTTCTCCTAGCTATCTTGCCAGTTTCCTTAATTTACTATACACATGTGAACATACACAAATTCTATGACACAAAATTCTTGAAGTACGTAATAAATACCCTTTTACATACTAATCAGTACTACAATGATAGCTCTTGAAGTACAAATTACTTCTCTTTTTTACTTTTATCGGCGTTTCCACATGTGAGCGGTTGCCTCTTATTTTGCGGTTCCAGCCTTCTCTATCCGACCAAAAATCTTCGTCCATAATTCTTTCACGCATGGCTTCCATTACTCCGGTATTCCTGGTTTTGCGAGGCCTTCCTCGTTTTTTCCTTCCTGGAGGAGACCAGTCGAGGACATTCTTGGGCCACCTTGTATCTGACATTCTTCTCAGGTGGCCATACCGTTGTAGCATTTTACTTTCTAATCTGTCCAATACCGATTCCGATTGCTGCATCCCTTTCTGAATTTCTACGTTTCTAATTTTTTCCATTCTAGAAATTCGGCAGCTCCTTCTTAATCCATCCATTTCTACTGCAAATAATTTCTGTTTCTGGCGTTCCGTCAAGACCCAACTCTCTCCACCATAGGTTAGAATACTTTCAATAAGAGTTCGTACAATAACCTTTTTTTGTTCTTACATGAATTTTACTACTCCATAGTACCCCAGTCAGCATTCTTATAGATCCTCTTGCTTGTTTAATGCGATCATCAATATTCTTTTCACAAATTCCAGACTTATGCAGGATTGTACCAAAATATTTTAACTGTTCAACTAACATAATCCTTCCTACTCCTTGTACTTCCAATTCAGTACCTTCTCCTCCTATCATATACTCTGTTTTTTCAGGTTTAATTTAAGCCCACCTGTACATACCTCTACTATTTTCCGGGTCATTTATTCTGCATCATCTCTACCTTGAGCCATTATTACCAGATCATCCGCAAATAGTAATGAATGTATTGCTTGTCCGTTTTCAACAACGCCCATTCTTTGACATGAAGCATTCCAACCCTTGAGGACCTGTTCTAGATAAATTTTAAAATTTTCAAGAATAGGAGACATTCCACAACCCTGCCTTAAACCTTTAGTAGTTTTAAATTCCTCAGAAATTCTATTTCCGTTGTTTACCACGGCTCAGGTATCCACATACATTTTCTTTATGAGTTGAAAGAGCGATTCTTCAATTTTAAAATTTCGTAGTGCCCTCCACAATTCATGTATAGGCACTGAGTCATATGCTTTCTCCAGGTCAATAAAAACCAGATGAAGCTCTCTTCCCTTCCGACACATTTTCTCACACATTTGTCATAATATAAAAATGTTATCTATACAGGACTTCCCTTATAAAAAACAAGCTTGTTGTTCTGAGATTTTCATGGACATCTTAGCCTCGTATCTATTTTTCACTATTTTGCTCAAGAGTCTTCCAATTGATGCCATTACACTTATACCCCGATAATTGTTCATATCTCGCTTACTTCCCTTCTTGTGAATAGCCGAAATATGATAGATTCCATTCAGTTGGTAAATCGTCCATAAATAATATATGATTGAACAGTTTGGTCAATACTCTAATCATATTCTGTCCACTATACGTCCACAAATCCATGGGAATTCCACATGGTCCCATCGCTTTACCATTTTGTGAATATTTTCGGGCTTTCCATACTTCTTCCTCAAGTATAGGTTCTACCTCTTTCATGCCTCGCTTTATATTTCTAGTAGTCGTTCCCAGTTGTTTCCACTGAAATCTATTTTCCGTCAGCATCTCAGAAAAATGCTTCTTCCATTCCAGTAATGTGATCATATTCAAACTTACTTTATTCACATTCTGCGCTCTTCTTCTTATAGTTCTCCAAGCTTGTCTTGTTTTACCGTATCCCACTGTATGTTCTATCCCATAACATATCCTTCCCCAAGCCTCCTCTTTACATTGCCTCACAACCTTTTTGGTTTTCTTTTTTAGTAATACCTATCTAAATCTTCTTGACGCTTAGAATTCAGCCAGATCCCACGAGCTTCCTTCTTAATTGCCGCAGCGGCTTCTCCATTCATCCATTCCATTCTTTCTTTACTATCCATTTCCCAAGAGTTTCAGCAGCTGTCTCATGTACCCATGTCTTCATATGATCATAGAGTTCTTGAGCTCTCCAATCATCTTGTACATCTAATTTAGTTGCAAGACGTCTCTGATAGAGATGCCTAATACTCACATTGCAATAGACTAAGCATACATCTCGGTTCATTAATTTTTGTTCTTGTGTAAATGACGTATGTTTTTGTATTGTTATCCTTGGGAATGCTATTTTAGTAATAAGAAGGTGATGGCCTGTACCGCATTCAGCTCCTCTAAATACTCTGACATCTTGAACTATTATCGTTCTATTTTGTTTAACCATAACATAATCTATTATAGATTTTATTCTTTTCCTCTGTTCCCAAGTAAACTTATGAATGTCTTTGTAGCAAAAATAATTCATTATGGAACAATTCTGCCCTTTACAGAATTCTATTAATCGCTTTCCATTGTCATTTACCCATTACCCCATCTTCTTTATTTCCAATGCGCCCATTTAGATCTCCCATAATTATAAGTTCATCTGTTATAGAAACACTATCCATCACCTCTATTAGATCTTCAAAAAATTAATCCTTCATAGTTAGGGAGTCATCTGCAGGGTCATATACCCCAATAACTACATGGGTAATTCCACATATTTTAATTTTTATTCTTATTAATCTTTCATTTATCACTTCCCAATTTTGAATCCTATTTCTCCACTTCTTTACTAATAGTACAAATTAATTCTGAAAAATAAAGTATATGAATATTCTACTATATACAATTACAAAAATCTTGCATACATCATGTGCCGCGTAGACTATTTATTGGCGCATGTATGTATCTACTTTGAAAACAATAACTCAGTAACAAAAATGAAATACCCGTGAATTTCCAATTTTTATCATCAATTTTCACCGACATTTTTACAGTGTCACGAACGTACGAGTTGTCTACACCTGTCAGCGATCAATTCAATCTTCGTACATGCGACTAAGCGCATCGGCATTTACATTCTCAGAACCCTTTTTGTGTATGATTCTTAAGTCAAGATTCTGAACTTCTAAAGACCAGCGTAATAATCTAGGATTTTTGCTCCCCGTATTACGTAAGCAAACCAGGGGATTGTTGTCAGTTTCAATTTAAATCATGGCTTACCCGTCGAGATATAATTTCAGTTTGAGTCCCAAATCAGAGCCAAACACTCGACTTCTGTCGTCCCATAATTGGATTCAGCCTCATTTAATTTACGGCTCAAAAATACTACAGGTTCTCTACCGTTGTCATTAACTTGATAAAGAATTACACTTATAGTCTCTTCGATGCGTCAGTGTGAATTCTGAAGTCCTTGGAACAATCCGGTGCATACACCGAGCTCCTGCTGCAGCTCATTGTAAGAAGCCTCACGTGCCTCCGCCCATACAATTTTGCCTTGGCGCTCACGCCCCCGCAGCGCCTCTGTCAGTGCCGCCGCTTTGTCCGGGAAACCCGGTATCAACCGACGATAGTACCCGACCAATCAGAGCAGCGAACGCACCTGTTTTTGTTTTTTTTTTAATCTGGTCTTGGAAAGTTCTGGATACACATGAACTTGCTCCTGGCCTGGCGCCAAGTTCCCGCTTCTCTAACTACATTAGTTTCTAAGTACTCACTCATCAGCGATACGCGAACATAACTTTCCATGGTATGTACTGTTAGTTTATGCAGAATTTCAAAATGGAAAAACCGTCTCCAGTGCCTATGTGCTCGACCTAAGAATTGTAAACACCCTAGCGATTTCGAGTACTGGCACCCTGCCCAATCCTGAAAATTTTTTTTAGTAAAAGTGCCCATAATCTGTACAGATCACCATTAAATAACATCGATAAGGGCGGTTATTTCTATCCAAAGAGCAACCTAGCGCTGATACTGCCGAATGGTTCAACGAACGCCGAATACCTCTGCGCCCTATCAGTAAGACCTATTTGCCAAAAGCACTTACTCAAATCTAATACACTAATGATTTTAGCGGCTGCTACCTGTTCAATACGTTCTTCCAGATTGGGTAAAGGAAAATACTCAGTTACGATAATTGATTGAGGCCCCTATAATCAATACAGGGCCTCGGTTTCTTTCCGGGTGCCTCAACCAAAATCATAGGAGACGTGAAATCTCTTTCCGCCTCCACAATGATATTGTCGCGAAGCATTTTATCTACCTCTTCCCGCAGTATCTCGGCGACATGCGGTAGGGTACACTGCGAACAACTTTATCAGTGTCAATCGATTATATATCCATGGTAGTGATATCTGTTAAATCAGGTTTTTCACTAAAGATACACCTGTATTTACTAATGACGTTTTTGAGTGCGTCACGGCACTCGGGTTCAACTTCCGTACCGTTTAGCATTTCCTCCGCGTCAAAGTCGTCGGAATCTAACCTCAACGCGTAGTGGTCTAACGCGTCTTCCTCACCTGCGGCTGAGACCGTCGCAGAACCGAGAAAGTTCAGGTATTATGTACGCTGGTGGTACTTTTTCATCATGTTAATGTGATGCACGCGTGGTTCTTTCCGCCCTGACATCTGTACTACGTAATTGTGTTCAGACATTTTCTAGCGAACCTCACCCGGCCCTACCCTCTGCACAGCTAGTTTCCGCGTTTTGTTAGGCGCCAGAACCAGCACCTTCGCGCCTATATCAAAGCTGCGCGAGACCGCCTTCCGGACATACCACACCTTACGTTTTCTTTGTTCTTCCGCCATTTTGGTATGAGCGAGTTCACGCAACCACTTCAACCGATTGATCAGCTTGAACACTGATCTCCCTTCGCTTTCATCTGCACCCGCAAGTTTCTCGTAAAGAAGCGTCATGGGTGTGCGGAGATTTTTCCCATAGACTAACTCAGCTGGTGAAAATCCTATTGACTCGTGCACGCTTGTACGTAAAGCGAACATAATCGCAGGAAGCTGGCTCTCCCAATCTGTTCCCGCTTCTAAACAAACAACCTTCATTAAACGGTTCATGGTTTGGTGCATCCGTTCTACGGCATTTGATTGCCGATGATAAGGCGAACGTCTAATTAATCTAATACAGAATCGTTCGGCGAATAACGCCATCAGTGTTCTTGTGAAACAAGTTCCTTGATAGATTTGAAGCTCTCACGGAAATCCAATCCGACTGAACAAATCTAGTAAAGCCTCAATTATTGTGACCGTTGTCAGATAACGTATTGTAATAGCCTATGAAATTGCCGTACAGATTTTGAAGTGCTACTGATGCTGTGCTATGAGTATAAATTGAATTAACGGAGAGCGATTAATGAGTATCTTTTCCAAACAGGGTCAGTTATGCAAGTCAACAAATTTACGTATTGCTCGAATGTATGAACAGATTATAAATAAACATTTAATTTTAAAAAATCAGAACCACCGCTGGTCTCAGGATCAAGGTACCAGGGTTACTCAATGAGTTTAAGCGGTTTATTTTGATTACTGTGTGTTTTTCATAAATTTCAAAAATCCAATCACAATTAACAAAATCTTTTGCATGCCTCTGAGTGGTAGTACCAAAGATATTGCATAGTATAACGCACTTCATTTGTCCTATCATGATCACGTTTGCGACGGCCTTGGCGTCCTGTTTCGTTCGTGAAGCGTCTCAGCGATCGAGAAGGCCGTGGGCAATATGGCGCCGCCCTGTGGTGTGTTGACTTGCGGACGGATGGTCGCTGCGTTGCTGCTGTCTCTCGTCCTGGCGGAGGGGACCGAAGACGGGCCAGCGCCCGCCGCCGCCCCCTACCCCGTCTCCGCCCCTGCCTCAGACACCGCGGGCAGCAAACCGACCAGCTGGCGCTGCAGGCAGGTACACTAGCCGCGAAACCTGCCCGGCGATGGACATGTCTGTGCGTAGGTGTGCCTCACATGCTTATATTGAAAGGATAAAAACACATTTGTAACGAATAAATAGTGTTTCTAGTTGTTCCTTACTTTAGTGAGATACAGATCTCAATGTTGCTCAAAATTCGTGCTTCATTAAATGTTAGCATATGGTATATTAAAACTTTTTCCTATTTGGAATATACTGTTGAATACTCTTATTTTACATTTACATAATTCTTCTTAAGCTGACTAATTTTATCCCCATGTAAATATACCGATGTTCTGACTTTTTCTCTTCTGTGTTGATCATTTCGATTCTTCTTCTAGGGCTAAAAGTGTAAGTAGTGTCTAGCTGATCAGATGTTCTTTGTGAAGAATTTTTCATTGATGCTGAATATGAAACTCGTATTTATTTGTTGATATGTGTGTGTGTGTGTATATACACATACACACACATATAACGCATCAATTGAATTATTGAATGATTTTCCTTGCCAAAGTAAATTGGTAAAAAATAAAAAAGTGGATACGTCATCGACTTCTCGGATTCGAGTGAAAATTCATACGCCCCTCCCCCTCATTCGATGCGCCGCTGATTTTGATGAATCCTTATTACAATTCCCCTTCCTTTTACTACTCTCCCTTTTTTAAATTACTTATCCTTACCAATTCGCCCTCATTCCTCCCTTTTTATTTCCTACCTAATTTTCTTTACACTTCCTATTACCTACTGCTCCATAGTCTTGTAACTCTCTTCTAACACCTCTATTCCATTCCTACAAAAATCCATTTCTCCCTATGTCATCTTCGCCCCCTCCTTGATTCTGCCAAAAGCTTTGTTCTTTCTCATAGACGTACGTATATACGGAGTCAGACACGGAGTATAAAGAAGTTACGTAAAGCTGCGGAACATCGATGTCTATGTTTTAACGGAAATTCACGGTTCGGGGTCCCCTGATAACGAAAAAAGTGTTTGTTGTTGTCTTTAAAATACCTATCCGACTGTGAATAACAGTAGTGCCTAAATCATAGCCAAAATAAATCTTTCCCGATCCATTTGACCCGACTGGAAGCCCTGCAAATATGAAACGAATTCGTAAAATTTGGGGGGGGCGTACATGACATGAAACCCTTGGGAAATTTTCAAACTTTTCTAAATTTTCTTAACTTTCTTGTAAGGATAGAGTGGAATACACTTATAAAGGTAGCGCTTGTCTGATTTTCACTGTCAACTGTGGATTTTCGAAAATTGGAGAAGTTTTATTTTTGCATTCCTCCCGAGCAATGATTCAAGGTGAATATTTTTTCTTCGTGAATTGTTTCTTCACAATTAGTTA